CGGCAACGGTGGTAGGAAGGCGATTTTCGTGCCCGTAATGCATTACTTCAAGCTGACTGAACACAGCCTATATGTCTAATTAATTGTTTTCCGGGTGTTCTATATAGGGTGGTTCAAGTCACCAGGCTCGATCTAAAATGGACCGTAAAAATCGAAGCCCGCACGTAGCCATCAAAACTTTTCGGCAGAGGTATACTTCACAGGTCGGTTTTTTCTTGTAAAATTACAAAGCGTGGTTCTCTTCTAGTAAAAAATAGGGCCAAGAAACTTGCCAGGGTCTATGGCGGGCGGCGACCCAGATGACCAAGACCAGTAGCGGGATGTGTTTGGCGTTCGTATTGATAGATGGCGTCGGGAGCAGCGTCTGAAGGTGCAGCCGACCAGCGAAAGAAAGCAGCGACACGCAGACGAAATCCGTTGGCAGCAAAAGCGCCGCCAATATACAGACGCGTTTTTTTTTTTACTTTAAGTTTTGATTTTATTGTTCGCATTTATTTTTTAACCGAAGGTACATTTCAAAAAGATTATATTCATTTTAATAGCGAGTTCGTTTCACGGCACTCGTGCCCACGCGTGCCCACTCGCAGCGTGGAACGGGTTCGTTTCGGCCGGCACTCCACAAGTGGTTGCACTCTCCGAGTTCGTTTCAGCGCTGACACCCCACGCTGCACCGAGAAAATCGGGAGTGCGCCAAAATGCAATCCCGTCATGCCTCGCTCCGGCGGGGCTGGCGAGGAGCGGGAGCAGACGACGAGGGTTCGTCGGCTACGATGTGTCGCGGAACCGAACGGGAAAAAAAGTAGATTTTCTGATAAAAATCGGGTCCCGCGGGCCACGAAATCAAACGCGAGCTTGAATTGTGAGCGTCTGCTATTTCCCGAAGAAAGCAATTGACAACCCGTGATTTATTTGCAGGTTTTAAATCGCTCTGTTGCCGTACAAACGCTGAAATATACCAGTGTGTAAAGAAATGCTCAATACAAACGTAACAGCGGCCCCCGAGATGTCTATCACCATCCGTGTGCGGGTGAAAAATTTAACATTTGTCGACAAAACTCCCCCAGCAGAAACCTCTGACTACCCAATAAGCATCAGAGAAAGCTAAAGATGGTAACTTTACCCCAGGATTGGGCAACATCATCATGTTTAACATTTACCTACGTCAGATAACTTGCAACGTCGTATCTTGTTCGAGAAAGCTCTCGTTCTCGGCGCCCTCACCAAGGCTAATATCTGATCCACCTATAATGACGATCCAAATCGAAAGTCCCAGTTTTGCTGGATATTCCAACAGGCTAGTTTTAAGCCGTACCCTTTCAGTGGTTCACGCATAATACCATGCTCAAACGGATCAAGCTTCCGCTCGGACAGCATCATCAGTTTTCTTCAGTGTAAACGGTTATAAGAATAACCAGCTGCTTTGTAGACAGCTGGTTGCGGAAATTTACGCCGTCTGTAACTACCTCTACGGCAGCCGAGCTGCTTGAAGTCATCGCAACTATAAACTACAGGTTGCAGCGACCAACGTTCGTAGATAAACGTTGGTAGCGACTGCATTCACGCATTCCCGCGCATCACTCCGAACAGAAAGGCGCTAGTTTCGGTTTGAAGTCGGTGCCTTTTCTACAACATAGATGGCGGCAGCATCAGTCTTCTGCACTCGGTGCATTTGGCGAGTTCGTTTGAGTCCAGTTTTCCGTGCAACACTCTGTGAGTGCGATGCATTCTGGGAGAGAACTCGAACGGTGCCAGTGCGTGTGAAACGAACTCGCTATAATAAACCACGGTGGTCCCGAACCGTCGCGATAAGGAGGTAGCGCCATCTACCAATATGAACGCTAAACACACCCGCTACTGTACCCCCGTCGTCCGGGTTGCTGTCCGCCGTAGACCCTGGCAAGTTCCTTGGCCTTAATTTTTTACAGAAAGAGAGCTACGCTTTCTAATTTTACAAGAAAAAAACCGGCCTGTGAATTACATCTCTGACGAAAGTTTAGATTGCTACGTGCAGGCGTCGATTTTTACGGTCCATTCTAGATCGAGCCTCGTGACTTGGGCAACCCTATATATATTCTTTATCCGCATTGCGCTCTAGACGGCACTATCGGCGACGTGTTGTAGTTTCCTGTTCCTTTCTGTTGAATCAGTTCTGATATCAAAGAAACGAGTTTCCCTCGGTATCTTTTCAAGGACTCCCCTAACACTCTCTCGCTTCAGTGCCTCGTTCATTCCCTTGTCTGTTGGCGATGTAGCCCTTATGCGCCTGCTATCTTAGGCAGTAATTACAATTGGAAAAATAAAAAAAAGGAGAAAAAATACTAAGCGAAAGAGACGGCATGCAGAGCTGGTCTTAAATCTTTAACTTGCTAAAAAAAAATATGACAAGAGGACAATGAAATTTCATTGTCCTCTTGTCATATTTTTTTTTTTTTTTCGTAGAGACGGCGTTGGAATTGTGGTATATAAGGCGTGTACGAAATAAACTTTACAGCTGAGTTTGAGACGTTGCGTCCTCTTTTTCTACCTTCTGGGCCCGTTTGCTCGAAGCTGGTTAACTAACCGCGGTTAACCGGATTTCCCTACGAGGGGGAATTTTAGGTCACGTGACCTGCAGAGTAGGGACGCCGGAGTAAAATAGTACCTAGCATCAGACAATATGTCCAATATGGCTGCTACGGCCGCTCGTCACGCTTGGGAACATTTATTTTTACGAAGATGCGTCATCCTCGTGTCACGAAAAGGACATTTCAACACAAAGTCTACTGTCGGAGTTGACGGCGAGCATGCTGTGGGAGCAGGGCCACGCCTGACTGGTTTCGTCGAGTTTGAATAACATCACGCACCGCCCTCTGAAGTGGACTTGTTTTATTGAATGCTACAGTCAGCGGGATCTTCAAAACGTATATCCTAGGTAAGTGCCGCGATGTTTCACGAGAAAGTTATGAGATTGTACCGCTATCAAAATTTCATGTCAGCAGAACTTGCGTTGTAATCAACGTCCAGCTTTCTTTTCTTTTTTTCACTTTTAAAACCTACCTCGAGCCCCAATCGCATGTTAGTGCAACAAATCTCTCTCCGAAAAACGGCCTCTAATCGCGGAGTCTGGTTTATAGTACAGTTCGTCGTGTTTTGTATTTGCAGCGCATCCACAACACCGACGACCCCCTTTAGCGACGGTTCAACGAAGGCAAGATGCAAACTAAAAACTTCCCTCAGAAGCAAAGATCCGTTACCTCAACAGAAGCTGCCGGCACGGATGCCGGCACGGCATTCCATCGAACTTCGGTACTGTCGTCTGCGAACTTGTACAACTGGAAAATAAACAAAGCTTCTATCGGAAAAGAAGTGTGCATATTTTCTCTTGCGCTTGTCTTTCTTCAATTTATTTTGTTTCAGATAACTAGATGTCTTATTAGGATTATAAAGAGAGACATAATTACGTAGCAGACGATCACAACCAATCTGAAATCTAAAATGAGTCAGGCGAATGCAAGCATCACCGTGAAACGGCAGAGGAATTGGTCATTGGATGAACAATTAGAACTAATTCGGGCAGTGGGGGAGAGGAAACATCAAATTATGGGCAAGTTCAGTGCTACGGTCACGACCCAAACAAAAAGGCAGGCATGGGACGAAATTTACAGAGCCATGGGCTGTTTGCGCACCCCAGACCAGCTACAACAGTGCTGGAGAAACCTCCTAAAAAAGACTAGACAACTCTACAGCTTATTCAAGAAGCATGAACAGCGCACCGGTAAGTTCATTGTGTTCTTAAGTTCAAAAGATATTGCATTGCTTTAGTGATAATACATGAGCAACCAAACCTAGAAACGTGAATGTGGACATTTGTATATTCGTTCACATTTGCCCTCTGCTGGGAGTCGACTTTTCACCTTCCTTGAACAGCAGCAAAAGCAGTGTTACAGCATCAGAAAACAATTTATTCCAGTTTATGTACAAGTTCTGCACAGGCTGTATGGAACTTGTAAAACAGTTTAGTGGAAGACCCAAAACTTCGGACAAAATATTAAAACAGATTATAAGAGAGCACAATGGTAAAGGCCGACAGGCCAAACTGTAAGAAAGTAAAAATTGCACGATTACACAGTCCACAGTTTCAGCAGTGTTATCTAGCAGTTAATGAATGTTTAAAAGAATGTCTCATGCAGTATTTGTTTATTTTAATTTTCCCATGAAAGTTCCATTTACATACTTGGTTGAACAGTGAACCCCACCTCCTCTGTTTTTGCTCGTAACTCGAGTAAGTAAGAGTCGAGACGAAATTACTACGCCTTAATTCATAGGTGCTGGGCCAAACCCCCACGTCCTGACGCCCCTCGTCGAGGCCGTCCTCGAAGTGATCGGCGAGGACTCGCCCAACCTGTGCGGGTTGGAGGCCACCATAGGTGACACGGAAGAGTAGGTGACTGGTTTCTAGACCCGATTGTGTGAAGAGTAAATGGTTTTAAGGAACCGGTCACAGTAATGCAGAACTGTCGTTCCAGGCGAGGTTCTAAAAGACGAGGACAAATGATGATAAGATGGGCATGTTGCCATTTGAATGGCATTACTGCCGAGTACTTTTATATAAAGACCAGAGGCCGGATGCCCGAAACTTTCTTACAACAAAGTTACAAACATTTCAGTATTCCCGAAGCAAAATGTTTGTAAGTTTTGCGCAAGTTCTGACGAAATCCGTAGCTTGCGCAAAACTTACGATCTTTGTGCTTCGGGAATACTTAAAAGTTCGTAAATTTGTCATAAGATAAATCTACTAACTTTTTTGTCGTAAGAAAGTTCCGGGAATCTGGCTTCAGTTCTATTTCAACAACAAAAGCTCAAAGGCGGTTCGAAATATAAGTCACGAAACCGTCTTCCAGAGTGCACTCTAAGATCTGACGAGGCACCAGCGCTACCACATTTCTAATTATTTTCAACAAGGCTGAAACAGTTTCACCGAAGCTACAAATTCATGCAATAACACGGCATGCAATGAGAAATCAGGTGGTAAAGCTGTTTATTACCATCTTATAGAAATTAAATGCAACAAAGTGGCAATGGCTTTTCTTTAATGCTAACTGTAGCACGCTTTCAATATGCAAATTAAAAGATCACACACAGTACAACCATCCTGTTGCTTGTTTTACCAACTTAGGAAAATTGGCTCAAACATTAACTTCATTCTGGTCAAGAAGTTAACTACCCCCATGATGGTAACCTGTGTGAGTGAAATCAATACCAGTGAAGCTATGTGCTGTAATGTTTGAAGTTGTCCTATAAATGTGCAGTGCATTGTGGTTTGACTGGACATGTGACCACTAAATTTATGAACTGTTAATCGCATAGCTACACAGCTGCATTCTAACCTTTAGAATGCAGCTGTGTGCTCTTCACAACCAAATGCACATTTTCCTACACCATGTACTGGGCAATTGTGCAAGAAGTAACAACACTGCGCTCCGACCTCAAGCCTGTGCGTCAGTGTATAAACCAACTTGGCTCACAAACTTCGTCCTCTGTACCAACCCGTATGAATGAATTTTGGCGCAGCATCGGTGTCTTTTTCAGGGTTACAAACTTTGCACAGTGTGTTCTCTTTGCCCATGCTGACAAGAACAAAACCTGACCACTTTTTACACATGAATTTGTCGCAGTGACAGCTCCAGGGGAATAGATCCACAGCCTGGTCCCTCTGGGAGCGGAGCAAGTGCGGCAGTGCTGCACGAGAGTCGGCCGCTGGAGGCGGTGCAGCGGGCTCCAACAAATGTGCCATACAGCCGACGTTGGTGCCGGGAGGCTTCACAGCGCTTCTTGCAGGAGACAGAAAGGCAGCAGCAGCTCGAGGGAGCTAATCTCCTGCTGGAGAAGGAGAGCACAGAAATGGTTAAGCAAGCTGCCACGGCAAGAATTGCAGCAGCAACTGCTGCCGAGGAGTTCTACCAGCAGTCAAAAAAATTACTAGAGGACCAAAAAAATTTAATTCAACTGGAAACACAGCGTGCAGAATTGGAAATCAAATTGCTAAAAAAACAATTAGGAGAAGAGTAAACATTGACATATTACGCTGTTTTTAATTTTCATTTTGAATGTATATATATATGACAAAGCCAACACAGCTGCTGATAAATAAAATCCACTTTACTTGCAACTGTATATTTCTAGATTCAGATCTGCTATACTCTGTCTCGTCCTACGATGGACTAAAGCCCAATGCTACACGCCGCCGGGTCCAATCACGAGCCTGTTTGAAACCATGTGGTATATTTGCTCCGTCAAACATATCGGTGCGCCGAAACGTGTCATGCGAAGACAAGTTTTTCATCTGCTTATCGAGAACTAACGGCGGCTCCGCCTGCTTGCAGGGTTTTTGCTCTAGTTCCTTGTCACAGCACGAATAGTTGCGACGCTCAAGAAATCTTGACTGCTGATCCATCTCCGTGTGCTCTGTCCGTACCGCCGTCAGCCTCGTATGCGCCTCAGTTGCCGCTAAGACTAAAAGCCTGCCTTGCATGTACTCATCGGAAGATCGTCTGGCTAATTTTATCATTTGCCTAATTTATCTTCGTATCTCCCTGAACCATAGCCTATGGTATTCGTGTTCCCGCTGCGCCGGGGTAATCGGCAGCAGTAGTCAAGCGTAATATGTGGGGACGGCGTGGGCGAAAATTCTACTCTCTTCCAACCTAACGCAGAAACAACATTTGGTATTCCAATGTTTGATCAATTAAAAACAAGCAGAATGCACTGGTACTCAAGACCATGCAAAGCAGCATGTGCAATATATTGGTATACTTACGCTCAACCGAAGAACTGGCTGACGATGGCATCCCGAGCCTCGTTGCTTTCATCACGGCCCGCTGCCACGGGCTCGACGGGAACCTCTTCGGGGAGGACAGTCCTTGGCATGCTGCAGGGGTATGTCTTGGCCAGGTTGTGCAGGACACAGCAGGCAACAGTGATGTCGCAGCATCTCTCTGGCTGCATCCTCAACTCAGCATGGAGGCAATGAAATCTCCGCTTGAGCTGGCCTATTGTCCTGCACAGTGTATAAATAGAGCAAGATCTGTTATCCTTTTGAAGTGGTTTATAAGAACATCTAATGAGATCAGCATGCGATGTCTATCATCGCTCCAGCCCATCGAAAACATGGTATTATGCCTAATAGTTAATATTTTTGTTGGAATATTTTAACATAGTAATGAAATGCAGATTTTGTTAAAGATTTCAGTGATGTGATTGGTCTGAGTCATTTTGGAGCAGCCCTTGGAGCAGTCAAAAGTCAATTATGGTGCAACAAAAAGAATGTTTGTAGCATAAGCGCACATTCATTTTTATTGATACCAATGCAAACATCACGTCAAGATTAATTTTTCGGCCTGTCCAACTAAAGGGCAAAGTCTACGTTGCCTTCTCACATACGTTCAAACCTTTGTTAGCATCAACTGCGCAGCAAGAGTTCCTCAAACACAAAACTATAGCGTTCAGTTGCGTGGAGAAGCACCATGACAGGGTAACAAAAAGGTGAGTGATGAAGGACAGCACAAACTCCTTTAAATGGTTATTTTAGGTACTGAATGCCACTAAATTAGTACAATAACATTGGTCACATAAACTGATGTTTCCTTCAAGTTCTAGAGGTTGTAATAAAACTGCAATTTATAAATGAGATAAAAAAACAAAGCAATTATCATTTGATTATCAACATAAATTACATTTTATCTGTAGAACTTCAGAGCAAAAACGGCATGTGAACGAAACTTAAAAACAAACCCGCCGAACTCATTCAGGCTCTTCCTGAGATTTCATCCACTGCTCCTGTCAATTTAGTTCTAATCTACTCACACCTACAGAAAATTGATAGCTAAACAAATGAGTTGGCATAAATAAATAAACATGCATAAGAGCATATATAAATGCTCTTGCAATACCAAAGTACCCTTACTAAATCTCGAAATTGGAAAAGGTGCCGCCGGGATCTTGTAATCCATCATATTTACGAGCCGAAGTTGTGTTCAGGAATTGTGTTGAGTCTCACTTTGGAGGAGAGCTTTCTCCTTAACACAGGGTCCGCTGCAGAGAAGCAAGACATACAAAGTTGCGATGCCTACTCCGTGGTGTTTGCTTCTTTGCAGTACACCGGTGCGTGGTGAAAAGCGCATTCAACGACACTATAGTCCGTTGCAACCTAAGAACGAAGGGCGAGGGTAAGACGGGTTGGGGAGGAGGAAGCAGGCGGAACGCTAAAGAGAGAAGGAGGTTTCCCCCTCTCTTCTCTAGCGTTCCGTCTGCTTCCTCCTCCCCGGCCTGTCTTACCCTCGCCCTTCGTTCTTAGGTTGCAACGGACTATAGCTAACCCTCCAGAATGAACAGACGACTAACATAAAAATTATTGCGAAACTTCCAGATATTGCCTGTCATTCATACGAAATGTGATGGAATGGTATCGTATACGAGACTATAATCAAAAGTTTTGAAAACCTGAAAACTTGCGTAAGCATATCGTGACGGTCCGGCCGGGCAGCGAAGCCCGAGCTATTATATTTTCAGTATTATTAAAATGAAAATAAGTTTTGGTGCTACGTTGGTGCAAATTTCTCACATTGTTGTTAAATGTAGCAGGACGTAGCAGGGTAATCACTTTGGCGCAAATGGCGCAGCAATCCCATCACAGATATAATGAAAATGTTCTTCGCAAAAACTTGCAAGGAAAATTGCAGTTTGAGATAAGCAGTATTTAATAAGATATGCTTGAATAAGTCTGTACACAAACTGTCTAAAAACAAAACCTGCCTAAGCCAGTGTTTTTTTTTCACATTGCAAGCTGTTTTTTTTTTCTAAGAATTGCTTTACATTTAGGCAATATAGAGTAACAAAAAAAATTAACTGCTATTGTTTGAAATGTGTAAACAGCTAGTAAAAACCTGTAGGTTAATAAACCCAGTCATACAGGAAGGATATGTTTCAGAGAAGTTCTAACTTCTATTCTGGAGTTTATACAGAAAAGAGCAAATGAAATATAACAATTATTGTGAATATAGAGTTAACTGGCTAATGGTTGAATTTTGTGAATTGATGTTCTTCATTCCCACAATGCTGGCTAACCTTAGAATAAACATTTCAGGCTATGGCAGTAGGTTATAGCCCGTAGTATAAATAAGGTATAGTAGAGATACGCCTTCCTCTCCTTGCTTCTGAGCAGCCGTAGCCTACTATGCAAGAACATAAAAATGGCAACAAATGTAAAGCTCAGGCACAACCACATAAAAAAGGTTAGGTGCCTCAAGGTACCGAAACACTGAACCGTCGAACCAGGACGCATAGCCTGGCTTTACCGTTCCACGATGCTCCTCGTTGTGCTATGTGACGCACTGTAGGCGACCTCCGCTGCTGATGACGGAGACAGGAAGGGCGTCATCAGCCATGGCTTGCAGGTGTAGCCGCTGTCTCCAAGCAGTAGGCCCTCGTAAACGCCATCGGCCAGCTTGCCTGACAACGAGCCCTCGGTGAATATCCTAGAGTTGTGGGTGCTTCCAGGCCATTTTGCAACCACATTGCGGATACGGTAAAAGACGTCAACCACTAACTGTACATTTATTGAATGGTACAGATGGCGGTTAACGTACACCTCCTCATGCACTTGTGGCGCCTGTATCCGAATGTGAGTGCCATCAACAGCACCCACGACCGAAGGAAACCCACCGATCTCAAAGAAGGCCTGTTGTAAGGCATGACCCTCAGCTTCACCTGGCCACCTGCATTGTAGATGGATTTGAGTGAGTCTGTAGCACTATGACATTAACAGTGACAGTTTTGTTGTTATGATCACATGCTTCAAAATAACACAGCTATCATTCGTCGTCATCAATAGTGAGCAATAAAAGCCTCGTCTGCACAATGACAGTACTCAGTAGCCGCAAGACTAGCTCAGTAGCAACAAGTGCATAGTTGGGAGTGCAGAAACCAGGCTGTTTGTAAATGTCTGCACTCCTACTTTATTTGTAGATTAGTTGAATTTGCACCTGCACCAATAATAGGTACTAAGGGAGTCATTTTGTACACTCCAGTTGGTTCGTGTAATTTTACTGCCCAGTTCACTGGTCTGCATGTCACGCTCATTACCAAAAAACAAATATCGAGTGCTGAAGCAACACTTTTAATGATCCTTTAGGGAGGTACCAGTATACGTGGGGATCGATGCGCTGGCAGATATTCAGGCTAGCAAGCCTACAGCTTAGGAAACAAAAACGAAAGGGTCATTGCGCAGGTGGTGCGCCGTAAATAAATTGCAGAATAGGTGTGCGGAGAAGACCATCTTTAACGAATTCGGGGGTTTCAGCGAACACAATTCACGCACCGAAATTTCTATACAAAGGGTTTCTGAAATAATGGTGATTGCTCATCGAGCAATCTAGGCCCAGGCTTTTTTTCTCGGAAAACTGGCCTGCACATGCGCCTAATATCGGGACGCACCAGAGATGCTCCAGACCACTTACCCTATGAAGTCTTGGGCACGACGTGCCAAGGCCTGAGTCACCCGCCTCACAGTCCGCGAAGCAGTGGAGACGTGCACACGGATGTAGTCCCCTGCGGTGATGAGGAAGTTCCCCGTGGCGTAGAACTGTAAGGCGACAATGACCTGCTGCTCTGCAGGGGAGGCACTCACTTGATCGAATGACGTTTTAGCGAACGCCCACGTTTCATCGAACGACACTTTAGCGAATAGTCGGACGCCGCGAAGCGGCGTTTTCGGGTGGGCCAAGTGAGTTCATATTTTTGTAATGAGTTGCCGCAGACTGTCGCCGCGAAGCGGCGTAAAGCGCAGCGCGACGGATGGGTTAACGCGCGCCCCCGTTATTCGCTAAAACGAGCATTCGCTCAAATGTCGCCGTTCGCTAAAATGTCATTCGCTCTTGTGATATGGACCCGCCCGCGCGACCGAATCGAAAGCGCTCCTGCAGTTCGTCCTCATCGAACTCCTCCAAAGGGTTCAAGCGGTCACGGAACACACGCTGCCGTCCCATCATCACAACAGCGTACTGGGCGAACACGCGCTCTCTTCGATGTCGGCGTCGCGTCACAGTCGACATTGCGTCCCTTATCTTCACCAATCCGTCCGCAAATCAGTTGTCAGTCAGTCCGGTAGTCAGTCGGCGAGCGAGTCGGAGGGTCGGTTGGGCAAACGGCAGGAGAAGACAAACAGTGAAAATCAGGTGATAACTAAAGCGCGGGAAACGTGCGTCGCAAAACACGGAGAACAAAACAACCAAAAACAACGAATCTATAAAGACTGTTGCCAGACCCGAAATCAACGCTGCAAACTTATGCTGTGTTTGGCGGCACAATAGATGCATCAAGATATTTATTATTTTTTTAAAGTACATATATATTTTCATGCATAAAAAGAAACATTGTGATACGATGTTGTTTTTATTTTTCTTAATAAAGACAAAACTAGCAAAAACGTTTCTTAAAAGGCTATTGTTTGCTTCGACCGGAAGGTGGCGGGAGCTACCGCATAATAATAACACGGAGAAATTGTGCGTTGAGTTTTTGTCGAACGCGGCTAGGTACTCGGATGTACCTAGGTAGGGAAACGCGGTTAACTTTTAACCGCGGTTAGAGTTAACCAGCTTCGAGCAAACGGGCCCTGTTGTGTTCTCCTTTCTGCCCGAGTCTCAGGTTTGAAATCATGTTCAAGTCATTCCCACTTTAAGAAACAAACTAACCACGAAAAGCTTTTTTTTTTCTTTTTTTACGAAAATGGTTATATAATGAGGTCTTCTAATGATGTCTCGTCTTGGTGAAATGACAATAATTAACCTTCGTCTTTGACGTCACACTCATTCGTAACGTCAGATCTAGTCTTGACGTTACATATCTTCGCAAAGACCGCCCCCCCCCCCCCCCCCCTTCCCCTCGTTCTCCCCAAGCCTGACTCACAAATCCGACCGAACGCTGTTATATCCGCAACGAAAAAAAAAAGCACAATAAACAGCGTAAAATAGAATACAGCATTTTCTGTAATTTTGAGAACCACCGGCTCAGGGATGCAATCCCACTCGATGGAGGCGAAGGAAAGGAAACAGCGATATAACTGGAAGTTACTGAAAGGTAAGAGAAGCCTATTAATCGCAACACTAATAGCGTTATATATACCGAAGAACAAAGCAGTGAACTACGATTAAACATGGACTCAAACTTCAAAGAAAGGAAAATGTTTTACAATGTTTATATTACGTAAAACAGCCTTTCTTACATTTGAAAAGCGCCAGAAAACAAAAACAACAGAAAAAATAGACGAAACGTTGTCCTTGTTTTCTGGCGCTTTTCGAATCTAAGATGTACCAACTTGCCCAACTCCAGATTCTTCTACAGTATTTCTTCGGCGAGAAAAAAATAGATAAGTCCGAGCTTTACAACTAATTATCCATACAAGTTACACACTTACACTTACATACAAGCAATGCAACGTTAGTTGATATGTGCAGGGACAGGATGCAAGCAATTGTATTTTAGCCTTCGTGAGAGAAGGTCGTTCGCGTAATTAGGTTGCATCATGGGTCCACTATTCAGCTGCCCAGACGTCATCAGACTTGATAGGACTACTACTATTCCGCTTTCATACGAAACAATAGTGACGCCTTTGTTTTTGCCATAAACGCCGTTGTAGCGCTCTCCAGCTTAGCAAGGAACCTGTTAAGATATTTACAACATCGCATAGAGTATAAGTATTTCCTGGCTGAGAAAAAACTCGCAGTTCATCATATCGATTGTCGATCGAAGCACCTTAAGTAAAATACGATGGAGACATTATTCGCTATGGGGGACAGAGTGTCCCAGTGCAGTCATGGCCTCTGAGATCCCGATGCACGTTTCGTGATCTCGAGGGTCCTGGTGCGGTCATGGACTCCGTGATCTCAAAGCGCGCGCTTCAGCATCTCGGAGGCCACAGAGCAATTGCAACGTTTTGTGTGGCGGTCCAGAGAGGGCGCCACCAGTACCGTTCTTCCGAGGATCACCTTGTGGTGTAAATTTCGAAGTTGGTGTCGCCACTCACAGTCAGGGTTGCCAGGTTGGGCTATTAATAGCCAAATTGGGCTACTTTGTCATGCATTTGGCGTCGAAATTTGTCGGTTGGCTATGTGGCTATTTTTGGGCTATTTCAAATTTTAACGCGGCACTTTTTTTTTTCTTGCTTGGTTAAGAGTAGTTGTACAAATGACACCTCAGCATGGACATAAAGCGAGGGTCCACCCTTTCTGGATTCCCGCTTTCAGGGATTTTTTTGCGTGAAGTTTCGTGGGCGTGATGCCAGAACCTATTAGCTCAAGTGAGCTACCGTGACATAGATTCAGCTCCGACGACATCGCTTTTGTAGTAATTGTTGCTTATTTTATGCTCCCAAGTTCTTTCTGCTTCCTATTAGCGTCTCTTATTTCCTCGAGTTACCCACCATCATCCTACAGGAAGCGCATCATCTGAGGAAAAATGATACTAAAGGCAACTCAAGACATCCTGCAGAATTTGATGTCGCCCGACAACGCGTGTTGTACCGGATATAACGAAGGAGGCTTTTCCGCGAAACATAAAAGTTTCTTAAAGCACAATGAGCCATAACAAAAGACAACAAATTTGGGACAATGAATATTCCGAACAAGGCCAAGATCAATGCGCAGGAGCAGCCCTGTTCCCGTTGCTATCCGAGCTTGCCATCGCGCTCCCGACGCTGCCCATGTCGAATGCCGCCGTGGAGAGGGTATGCAGTCACGTGTCCCTCACAAAGTCAGGCCTAAGGTGGAACATGTTCCTTCCAAATCTTCAAAACGTCCTCTACGTAAAGTTAGCTTTCCTTAGGAAGAGCGAGTTCTGTAAGGATATCAACCCTACTAAAGAATGTTTTGCCCGTTTTAACGCGGAAATCATGTATGAGGCGGGTAAGCCGGGCACGAGCGTGTGCTTCTTAACTATGTGACTGTAAAAACGCGTGTGGAAGATTTTTGTACGTTTGTGTTTGAAATAAAACGTTCAATACTTTTCAAGATGTCGTAGATCTTGCAAAGCTGCACCTAAACCCTAGATATGTAGACGCAGTGCCTTCGAATTGAGCTCGCACATTCAAGCGCACAATTATTTGGGCTCTGCAGAATATGGCTACTTTTGGGCTACATAAATCTCTTGCATTTGGCTACTTTTGGGCTACACCGTCTGGCTTTTGGCGGTTTCAGCTAGAAACTACCTGGCAACCCTGCTCACAGTGGCTCTACGGGTACCTGGCTCTACATGTGACTATTTCACTGAAGCACTGCAAGCGCAACGCACGTAGGCTTGGATTCCTTCTAATCCTTATCTATAATATGCATGCCTTCC